CGCAGAATATGACTACCACCACCAAGATCGAGAATACTACGCGATGCGATTTGGTGCAGTTTTGCTATGGTGAGAAGCCCGCTGCCCACCTCCCGCCGCCAGCGGCAAGCTGGCTGCCGCCTCTCTCTTAAGGGCCGAAGCAGGATTCATCGAAGCACGCGCGGTGGTGGTGTATAAAATGTTGGTTACTAAGGGGAGCGATTTTTATGCACCACCACCAAGATGTGATGTTTCTGCTCCAGGAACTCCCCATGCAGCGGAGCCTGCGAGCTGCGCCGCGCTCCTTTTCGCCGTGGCGTCGCAGCGTCGTCTGGCATGACCCTGCCCCTAACCCTTTTTGCGGTGATTCATTGTTGCGGGCGGTGGTGGTGTATAGAAATTGGCCTCGCACGTTCTTCGACATTCGTGATTCCCGAATTCCCGGGGCATCTGGGGGCGCTAGCTCATCGGCAGCGCCTGCAGTGTCTGAGCCAGTGAGGCTGCGTGGCGAGCCGGCCATTGCTCCTGCGGGGCAACCCGCTGTTGCCTTCGAAACGCTACAAGAATGCAGGCGATATTGGGGGCAGCTGGGCACTGCCAACCGAATGAATATCAACCCGGCGTACAGGCCCTTCACCAACGACGGGTCTGACCGATGCGTTGTGGCGCAGTGCGACGCCCGATGCGCTGCCGTGCATGTTGGCGATGCAGCTCGCGCTCGCCAGGTTGTCCGCGACGTCTCGCGGAAGGAACCTGCCTTAGCAATGGCTCCGAGAAAAAGTGCCTGAAGGGGGTCCTCAAGGAAGCGGGGTCCTTGTAGTAAAACTAAACGAACATGAAAAGCGTGAGTGTTCGGAATGGCTCGCCGCCGCTATTCGCCGCAAGCCGTTTCATCGCGACCATCTTTCTGATGGGCGCGTTAAATCGGTCGCGCCTTTGGACGAGTGCGACGGCTGGATGGAGCTCGCGGACTTGCTCAACAATTGGCCGCTCAAAGGCTATTATGACTGGCATAATCGCCACCTGAGAACTGTCCAGGGGGGCCCTCGTGGCCGCCATTGGGCCTATCAGGCGCTGGCGGTGCTGGGCCTTGTCGACGTGATCGGCCGTTCAGGCATGCGCAAGAACAGCCTCCAGGTAAAGACGCCCAAATGCGCAAGCGGGTCCCGTCCGACGTATCTCCTGCGCCCAAGCAATGGGCGTAGCAGCCCTGGCATAAAGCGCCCTGGGTCCCCGTGCAGAAGGGTGGCCGATTTGACATCGCCAGGGGCGCCTTGCTATTTATCCATGGTACCAAACGGGTCAACATCCCGAACATGCTCCGTGTCGGGCTGTCATGCCGTGCTGATGATGCGATCAATGTAAGGGGCAGGCAATTTATTCATGGGTGCCCATAGCTACCTGGAGATAACAGAGTCCAGTCTTGCCTGCGCATAGATTCCGAAGTATTGGTTATGGTGAATGTCAAAAACCTACTTCGTGACCGCATCGCAATTCGGCGTTCCGCGAATGCTATTATCATGGCGGCAGGCAAGAACTGCGTGATTCCGCAAAGCCACAGGTGCATATATGCAAGCATGTTTGTTCACTCGCTGGCATGCGTATGCGTGCATGTGTAAAGTTAGTTAACTACGAATACATCAATGTATACATATGTATGTACATATATATGCACCTATACGACCACCCTTCGGGTGATAAGGGGGTTCGGGGGGCGGGGTGGGGGCGGGGGGCGGGGCGGGGTGGGTGGGGTGGGTGGGGGGTGGGGGTGGGGGGGGGGGGGGGGGGGCAGCGTCTCACCCGATCGATCTCGCAATTGATATCACTATCGATCTCACTATCGGTCTCGCTCGATCAATCTCACTCGACCGGTCTCACAATCGATCCCACTCGATCTATTTCATTTGATGGGTCTCGCAATCGTTCTGACCATGGACCTCACAATCGATGCCACTATCGATCTCGCTATCGATTTCACAATCGATCTCACATTCGGTCTCACTGCCGGTCGCACAGTCGATACCACAATCGATCTCACAATCAACGTCATCATTATCATCACCATCATCACCGTCATCAGCGGCATCAGCATCATCATCATCATCATCATCGGGACACCATCATCATCATCATCACCTCCGTCATCGTCATCGGGACACCATCGTCGTCACCATCATCATCATGAACATTATCATCATTATGGGGGAACCTTCATCATCATATTCGGAACACCACCATCCTCATCTCATCATCATCATGAACAACATCATCAACATCATCATCATCGGGACACCAGCATCATCATCAATATCATCATCCTCATCATCGTCATCACCGGCACACCATCATCATCGATACCATCATCATCATCACCATCGTCGTCATCACCATCATCATCGGGACCCTCGTCAGCATCATCAACATCATCATCATCATCACTGTCGTCGGTCCACGAGTATCAAAATCATCATCAGCATCTCATCCTCATCCTCATCATCAACATCATCATCATCAGGACACCAATTTTTACATCATTATCATCATCGGGACACCATCATCATCACCATCATCATCAACATCATCATCATCAACCTCATCACCATCATCATCGGGACACCATCATCATCAACTTTTTTCATCCGCATCATCTCATTATCATATTATCATCATCGACGTAGCCAGGATCATCAACATCATCATCTTTATCATCGGGACACCACCATCACCAACATCGTCATCATCAACATCATCATCGGGACACCATCATCATCACCACCATCACCATCATCAGCATAAACATCGTCATCATCATCATCGTCATCGCGACACCATCATCACCACCATCACCATCATCATCACCATCATCAACATCACCGACATCATTATCAACATCAGCATTATCATCATCATCATCATCAACATCATCATCATCATCGGAACACCGACGGGACACCGGCGGGACACCAGCGGGACACCGCGGGCCCCCGGAAAATAATCATTTGGTCTGGCCGCGCCTCAGCCGGAGTCGGGATACCGGCGGGACACCGCGGGCCACCGGCCCCCGGAAAAAAAATCATTTGGTCCGGCCGCGCCTCAGCCAGAGCAGACTTTGTTCTCGCCCGCCCACGCAGTTTCGCCTCGCCCGCACGCACGGCGCGCACGAACACGAAACCGAAACCGATTTCCCGGTAGGGGGTTTTCCGTTCCACTTCGATCTCACCTACTCACCTCCGATATATAGATATGCAGATGCACTCGCGATTGTGGAGGCATGCCTATGGCTATGTCCATGTTTATGTGTATAATTGTATATATTTATATATGTATCGACATTTTTTGTTGTTGTTTTTTTATCCGTAAGGGCTTCGCCCCCTGCCGCCGGCCCTCTCTCGGATAGTGCGCTATGCGAGAGCTACGTCATGAGGCTTTGGCGCTGTCGTGAAGCAGTATCGGAACTTCATGCGTGGCCGACTCGTGATGAGCAAAACCACTTGATCACCAGAGGGGTTACCACAATTGGCGGTTGGTAAGACGTCGTGACCCTGCGGATCTGCGTGAGGTGTGCCACCGATTTTTGGACATTTGGCAAATCCCTAGTGTTTTTAGACCCTGACCCTGCGGATTTGCGTGAGGGGTGCCACCGGATTTCCGAAATGTGGCAAATTCTTTTTGTTTTTGGACCCTGACCCTGCGGATCTGCGTGAGGGGTCCTTCCGGATTGTAGAAATGTTGCAAATCCTTTTTGTTTTTGGACCCTCACCCTGCGGATCTGCGTGAGGGGTGCCACCGAATTTCAGAAATGTGGCAAATCTTGTGTGTTTTTGGACCCTGACCCTACGGATTTGTGTGAGAGGTGCCACCGGATTTAAGAATTGTAGCGAATCCCCTGTGTTTTTGGACCCTGACCCCGCCGATCTGTGTGAGGGGTGCCACCGAATTTCAGAAATGTAGCAAATCCTTTGTGTTTTTGGACCCTGACCCTACGGATCTGCGTGAGGGGTGTAACAGATTTTCAGACATGTGTCAAATCCTGTGTTTTTTTGATCCTGACCCTGCGGATCTGCGTGAGGGGTGTTAGTTTTTACCCCCCAGAAATTCTGAGAACCTTCCGAAGGCGTGGTAGTTCTGCTGGTTTGGGCTCCTCCCCCCTCGCGCGTTCATCAACAAGGAAAAGTAAGCAGCAAGAAGCAAAACTGTAACAGTGGAAACTGGAAGGTGCAACTGGTACAGGGAGCAGCACAATCCCTGTCTACAGCCTGGTGGCCCCGCAAGGGGGCCGGCGGATTTATATCAAACCAGATAAACAACAACTTGGGTGTATACATAGATATACGTATTCATCTATATATATATATATATATATATATGCTCGCCCCCCCCATGATCATACACATTCTCCTTTCATCTCTCCAGTGTTCATCGCCTTTCCCTCATCATGCTCTTCTTCATGATGTGTTGATGCGCTGGCAGTCGAAACCCATTTGATTGCAGTCCAAACGGATGCAGTTCAATGGATTGCAAGCTTAGGGATCAGCTCCATCTTTCGCGGCGCATTTCAATCCAAGCGACCGCGTTACAATCGGTTGCAACCCATTTCTATTCATCAACCTCTGCATCTAATTTCTGCGTCCTCCTCATGTTCCTGATGTCCCTCTCTCTCCTCCTCCTCCTGCTCCTCCTCCTCTTCCTCCTCCTCCTCCTCCTCCCCCCCTCTTCCTTCCCCTCCTCCTCCTCCTCCTCCTCCTGCTCCCTCCCCCCTCCCCCTCCTCCTCCTTCTCCTCCTCGTCCTCCTCCTCCTCCCCCTTCTCCTTCTCCTCTTCCCCCTCCTCATCCTCCTCTTCCTCCTCCTCCTCCTCCTCCTCCTCGTCCTCCTCCTCCTCCTCCTCCTCCTCTTCCCCCTCCCCGTTGTCCTCCTCCCCCTCCTTTTTCTCCTCCTCTTCCTCCTTCTTCACTCGTTCTCCTTCTCGTTTTTTGTTTCGTGCAGCGCACGCGTGTTCAAGGCCGTTGCTTCGCTTAGCCAGCGCCCCGCTGGGAAACCATGGGCAACCCCGAACACGGCGCGGAACAGTACGACCGCAAGCTCGAGAACAACCGCGTGTACAAGGCAATCGTACAAAAAAGGACAGGACCAACGCGGCGAAGCACGAGCTCAATATGCGATTCCAGAGGCCGCTGTTGAACAAGATCGCGGACCTGGAAGGGCAGAGTGCGATCTATCCTCCTCTTTGCGCTTCAAACATCTCCAAACATATAAACGCATTGTCCCGCCTGCTCGTGCTCAGGTTGAGTGGTGCCAGGGCGAGGCGGCGGGCAACTGGGGGCTCGCCGAGCAGCGTGCGTGGTCCAACGAGCAGCTTCGGGACACGACGTCTTGAAATTCCACCACCACCACCGCCCTGCCTGCAACCGCAAAATACGGACCGGCACCGAGGAACGTCGCAACGACGGCAAACGCACCACGCGCAGCAAGGGCGACTCAGCAACGACGCAAGGGCAACCGAGCAGGACGCAGACGCACGAAGCAACTGCGCATAGAAGAACCGCGACGGCAGCAACCGCGACGACCGCAACCGCAACGGCCGCAGCCGCAACGACCGCAACCGCAACAACAGCAACGCCAGCAAAGAGCACCAAACACGAAGCAAACGCAACTCCAGCGAGCCCACGCCGCCGAAATCCCCACCCGTCTGTTCGGGTGCCTTGCTGCCTCGCCCGCGCAGGCGCGAGTGCGGAAACTGACGGGGGAGCTGGCCGAGAGCAACGCGGCCGAGGAGGACGCGCAGGCGAAGGGAGCTGCAGACGCGAAGGCCCTCAGGGCCTGGAAGTCCTGGTTCGAGGCTTTCTCGCGCGTGTGCGACCAGGAGCTGCCGCCGAAGGCGACGAAGCTTCTGAGGGGCTGGGCGACTTGGAGGGTCACCCACTTGAGGGCCATCCTGCGCTTTTCTCAGGACAACTTGGCAAAGCTCTAGGAGCCCGCCTCGAGGCCAAAGAACGCTTCGCTCGCTAACGGGAAGAGAGAGGCACGGCGCGGCGGGGAGCACGACCAGAGGCGCAGCAGGGGGCCGTCCGAGGAGGAAGGGGAGGAGGAGGAGGAGGGGGCGGACCAGGGGAAATGGAGGGCGGAACGCGCTTCTGCCAGGCAGGAGGGGATGCGCAACGGCATCGGCAGGATGCCGCGCAGGAAAAGCGGTGCAATGGTGACATCAAGACAACAGGACGAACCACCCACCCAGAAAAGCAGGCGACGATGGAGCCGCCGACAAGCATGTTCAGTCTAACGTGAACAGGCGCATTGCTGCAACAAAAAGGGCATCCTGATTCTAGGATGCCCTCTCTGATACGGGCGTCGTAGGAAAAGCTGTGCAATGATGGCATCAATACAACGAGACGAACCGCCCACCCGGGGAAGCAGGCGACGATGGAGCCGCCGTTAAACAAGTGCAGTCTAACGTGAACAGGCGCACTGCTGCACAAAATGGTATCCTGATTTTAGGATGTCCTCTCCGATACGGGCGTCGTAGGAAAAACGGTGCAATGACGACGTGAAGACAGCGAGACGAACCACCCGCCCAGAAAAGCAGGCGACGATGGAGCCGCCGACAAGCATGTTCAGTCTAACGTGAACAGGCGCATCGCTGCGCAAAATGGTATCCTGATTTTAGGATGCCCTCTCTGATACGGGCGTCGTCGGGATTTTGTTCTTCTACTACGACTACCACTGCCATTCCTATTGCAACTACTGCTGCTACAGCTCTACGACGACTAGCACTACTACCACCGCTACTACTGTTGCTACTACAACCACTCCTACCATAACTACCGACAGCGCCGCCGCCACGACCAGAGGAAGCCGACGAACCTCCAGACAAGGAGGGCCCCAGTCCCACCCGCGGCGCATTTTGGCTCAGTGCGTTTTTCTCAACCGACCGTCTGGGCCACCGTTCCGCCGCCGTCGGCGATGGGAAAGCGTGCTATCAAACGCCCTGCTGCCGCCTCCGCGCCGAAGAAGCGGCCTGCGAGTGCTTTCAGGCCGTTCCCCTTGCGCAAGAGGGGCAAGGGCAGGATGGGCCAGCGCAGGAAGCAAGCGGAGAAGGTCGAGTACGCGCGCCACGGGAAGAGGACCGTGAAATCCCGCAGGGAGCGCGAAACCTGGCGCCGCAATTACGACAGCTTCCACGGGGAAACTGCGGACCAGATGGTAGACCTGCTCCTCGAGGATGGCGTCCTGCTTGACTGGGAAGGCCGCGCCTGCCCTCACTGCGGCGTGGGAACCTGCGGCGCGCGGGTGCAGGATGGCAGTCGCGGCCCGCATTGGCGACGCAACGGCGGTAGGCTGCGCGCCGAGACCGTCGACCCGTGCACCGCCCGCCCCGTCTTCAAGTCTGGCGGGGGTTGCCATTCGTCGAGTTTGTCGACGAAGGCCGAGGTCCTCTTCTGCCTCGCGCTCGGCATGACCACCGCCCAGATGCACTTGCTGACAGGTGCCAGCCGCAAGATGATCGAGGACATGAGCGCGGCCGCGGCAACCGCGTGGCAGATCTACGTGGAAAAGAACGAACCCAACGTTGCCTTCGGCGACGGAGCTCAGCGGCGCTGGTTCGACGTGGAGGCGGATGAGTCGGTCTTCCGCGCCCAGCTGTCCGACGACGGTCGTTCCAGGACGTGGGAACAGTGGGCGGGCGTCGTCGAGCGCGGGCGCCCTGATAGCCTCGTTCTGTGGAAGACCCAGTCAGGCGGCGCCGAGGCCAACGCGCCAGGCTTAGGCGCCATCAAGAATATGGATTGGGCGCCGTCCCTATAAAGCCGCTTAGAGAACAGTGAGGTCATCTTGCGCTCTGACGGGGCCCGCAGCTACAAGATGCGCGCGTCGGGGCTCGTGCGCGACCACGTCGTGCACTGCGAGAAGCGGAAGAAGATCGACAGGAAGTGGGCTTGGTTGAGGCCAGTCTACTCGAAGGTTGTCACCCGCAAGTTGCCCGGCGTCTCCAAGATCAGGGTAAAGGCAGGGGCGCAGATCATCGACCGCGCCTGGAGGTTTTTCAAAACCCTCATTGGCACGCGCGCGGACCTCCCAGGCAGCAGGCGTCTCGCGGCTTCGGTTCGCTCGGTCCAGTTCGAGTGCTGGAACAAGGGCGAGGATATGTGGGCGGCCACCGCGGATGCCATCTGGGAGGTCGCGGGCGCGGCGTGCTGAGTGCCGATGTCGAGGGGTGTGTTTTTTATTGCGGAGTGCCGATGTCGAGGGGTGTGTTTTTATACAGCGCGCATGTGTTCCCGAGTGCGCGTGATTGACGTCGCGTTGATTGCCCCCACCGCAGCCGTGCCGCATCTTTGACTCATCGTCGTCGTGCCCACGCCCTCTTACTTCTTACTTCCATCTTCAGTGTGCATCGTTCGTCGTCGTCGCTCCCTCCCCAGGTGCTCAGCTGGCATCCGCTGCCGTCTGTGATCAACGCTTGCGCGCTGTTGCCCGTCATCCGAGGCCACCGCCCGACCCGCCTTTCTCTCGCCGCGGATCATGGCGAGCGCCCCTGCTGACCAGGTGCAGTCGCTGGGGCAGGTTGCGTGCGACGCCGAGGGGGGCGGCGAGCTCGCCTTTGAGGAGGCGTCGTTGATGGTCAGCGGTAGCAAGTTAGACTACCACCCCTCGAAGTGCGTCAAGAAAGGCAGGTTGGCTTTCGCTGGTGGCCTTTCTATCTTCGACCTTCCTCTGCTACCGATCGCGAATTCGAGTGCCGCGAAGTTGGTCGCTTTCGCCGACGTGGTATCCAACTACGAGGGCCCGATTGTCTTCGACAAGGTGCACGAGTTGTACGCACAGGGTAAGTTCAAGGACTTGCAGGAGCCGCTGTCGCTCAAGTAGGAGCCCGTCGGCCCGTGCACGATGCAGATCTTCATCGTTCGCCAGAAGCCAGAGGACAGCGAGTGTTCGGCATGCCGCATCCTCAAGGTCTTTTCTTTCGAGAAAAAAGCAGCAGATTCTGCGACCACCCTCAAGTGTGCTCGCGGGGAGGCCCACAACATCGACTACGGCCAAAACTTTCGGACGGGGTCGATTGCGTTCCAGTTCGTGCTGGAGAAGCTCGAGGGCTATCAAATACGGTGGGCGCGCTCGGACAAGGACCCCCCTCCTGCCCGCCCCAGCTCAGGCGCATTTTCCCCCGCCCCGTGTTTCAAAACGAGTTGGGCGCCCTGTCTGTGGCGACCCGGCGATCGGGACCCCCTGGGCTTCTCACAGAATGTATGCCTATCCAGCGCTTCCACCGCAAGGTGCTTCACGATCGAGCCGCAGCGCGAGCGGAAGCAGCCGCTAGAGGAGGGCGAGCGCGCGCAGGATTACACGTTCATCCGCATCCCCGCAGCAATAACAGGAACCAGTTCATGACATGGGTTGGCACAGAGGTCAACAGGGAGGGTTCGAATATATTCGGATGGCCTGCGTCCAAGGTGGAGACTGCGCTGCGCAACTGCCAGGGGGACAGGACGAATGCCAAACCGACCTCGCGCTGGAGTTTGACGCTAAAGGACTTCTCTGGCTGGTTCCTCAATGGCGTCCTCCGCCTGATGATTGGCACACTCCGCATGCGCGGGGTGCCGTGGGTCGGGAAGTCCAGAGTTGGCAAGAGCAACGGTTCGAAAACGCTTGCTTGGGTTCATTTGGCGCACAGCATACAGAAGAAGGGCGCCGCCGATGAGATCGCTTTCCTGACGGTGAAGCACGTGGATTTCTTCAAGTGCGAGCCGACGACGGAGATCCTCCCTGGCATTTTCGACGACGGCCTGCTTCAGAAGGTTCGGTGGCCTGGCGTGGCCCACGCCATTGCCGCCCGCGGCTTCCAGGGAGACTGCGGTTCTTCCCACCGCATCGCCTTCCCAAGTGGAAGTCGCGGTGGCGTTGGTGATCGGGCGAATGCTTGGCCGCTTGCGGGTATCCGCTGATGTGCTCAAGGCTTTCTTGAACCCCAAGGAAGAGCGCGCTCTGCTGTTGGCTCGGTGGGGCGGCTGCGCTTTCGAGCAAGGGTCGTGCAGACAGGCCGTCGCGAACCCCTACGACCGCGACGCGGAGAAGGCGGCGCTGGATGCCGCGACGCTAAACAAGCACGGCCTCGACCTGCTCAAGCGTATCATCGCGCCGTCTCTGGGGGATGTCAGGACAGAGGAGGACTTCCACGCCATCCTCGCCAGGGCGCGCGTCATCGTGGTGACGGACCTCGGCGTGCATTGGCGCGTGGCATCCGCCAACCTGCAGGATGGTGCAGATTTCATGCCGTGGCCCAACCCCAGGGGCCCCGACCTCTTCGTCAGCGAAGTGCGGGACACGACGTCGCCAGCCATCCGCCCGCTCCCCTCAGACTACGCCGAAAAGATGGCTTGGTCGATTGGGTGCATGAGCAATGTGGTCGCGGGCCTTGACGTGCCCACTATTTCGACTGTCCATGTTGCTCCTATCTTCGGCGATGGCCCTGCGCGCGTTGTCTCCGCTGTCGGCAACGTTTCAGGGTTCGATCCAGGCGCGGCCAGCGCTCCGCCAGCCGCCGCGGCCGCTTCGGCGTTTTCCCAGCCGCCAACCGAGTTGTCCCAGGAGGAGGCCGCGTTCGGCTTCGGCGGCGGAATGGACGAACCGCCAGAAGACAGCTCGCGCGCCGCCAGCTCCGCGCAGCCCAACATCGTTGGGCGTTGCGGCGAGCTCACTAAGGAGGACCAGGGCGAGCAGCTCGCGATTTTCAAGAGCCTCGCCAAGGCGCGCCACGGTGCGTTCGAGGACTTGTCCTCGCCTCTGCCAGTGAAGAGGGCGAGGGGGCTCATGATGGGCTGCGGTGGTCCGTTGTCGCCCGTGGATGCCGATGAGCAGAGGGCGATCTTCGCTTCCATTGCCGCCTCGGCCCACGGTGAAACGATCGACGTCGAGGATGGCGACGGTCTGTCGGCAGAGCTCGCGCGCGTGCTTGACGAGGGGGGGCCGCCCTCTGAGTCGGCGACGGCGCGCCGCAGCGAGGCTGACTGAGGAGGCGGCCGCGCCGTGCGAGCGCGCATGATGCGCGACGCAGTCGTAGTCGATGGCAGTCGGTGCGATGCGTGCGCGCACGTATGAACCACCATCTTTTGTAGACCTCGATGCGTGCGCTCCGCCTGGAAACATAGCAGCGCAACGGTTGCGACAGATTGGGTAGCAATCGGTGGAATTGCGGTACCTACCCCCATGCTGACGGCCGGCGGCGCAACGGAGGAGGGGGAGAGGGGGAGGAGATGAGAAGGAGGGGGGGGGGGGGGGGGGAGGAGAAGAGGGAAAGGTGGAGGCGGAGGGGGAGGAGGAGGGGGAGGGGGTGGGCGAGGAGGGGGGGAGGAGGATGAGGAGGAGACGGAGGAGGAGGAGGAGGAGGAGGAGGGGGGGGGGCGAGATTTGCGAAATCGCCAACATCAAAGAAAACCTTCAACACATAAAAAAACAGAAACAACAAAAAACAAACATTATCTCTGGGAAGTTTTTTCTTATATATATATATATATATCATTTTTTTCTTCTTCTTCTTCTTCCTGTGTGTGCGTGTGTGTGTGTGTGTGTGTGTGTGTGTGTGTGTGTGTGTGTGTGTGTGTGATTTCGATGATTCCGAGAAGGAATAGCACGGGGGGGGGAGGATGGGGGAAGAGGAGGAGGGGGAGGAGAGAAAGGAAGAGACAGGAGAAGGGAACGGAGAAAGAAGATATCGATCGGCGGCCGCGGTGAAGGCGAATATGTATGATCATGTGGGCGTGTGCGTGTGTGTGTGTGTGTGTGTGTGTGTGTGTGGGTGGGGCTGCCGCATATGTATATATGTATATGGATATAGATATATACGCACATATGGATCGGCTTGCCAGAGTCGGGGGTGGTGGTCTTACTTCCTCTCTTCGCGTGCGTGGCTGGATGGAGGTCTCTGTCCCTGGATGCTATGCTTGGGGGCAACGCGTGGGTGCGATGCGCGGGGGCGGGGCGATACTTTGGGGTGATTCTTTTGGGCAGTGCGCGTGGGCAATGCATGTGGGCGGTGCACGGGGGCAACCCATGGGGGCATTCCACAATGCTTGGGGGCAGTTTACGGGGGCGACTCTTTTGAGTCGCACGTGGGGGCAATCCACGAGGGCACGGCGCGGGGCGAACTTTGGGGGCGATGTTTGGGGGCGAAGCTTTGGGGCAGACCACGTGGGCGATATTTGGGGGGCAATGCGTGGGGGCAACGCGTGGGGGCAATATTTGGGAGCGGCATGCGGGGGTGATTTGCGGGAGCATACTTTCGCCCCCCGTCGCCGCCCTTGCACTCTTATCAGCAAATTTGGGGTGTTACGTTTTGGTATCCATTTATGTAAATGATTATATAATTGAGAGGTGCTTATGTGTGTATGTGTAGGAGCATGTGTCTGTGTGTATATGTGCATATGCATGTGCATGTGCATGTTTGTGTGCACGCGTACATGTGTGCGTATGCGTATGCGTATGCGTATGCGTCTGCGCATGCGCATGCGTGTGTGTATGCGTATGTATATGAGGCTTTGGGGATTGAGCAACCGACCTGAGGACGCGCCCATTCGGTGCCCAGCGGCACGGTGGTGGATATGTGTGCGTGTATGCAGTCATGCACGTATTTATGCATGTCTGTATGTATGCACGTACGTAGTGTATGCATGCATGTATGCGCGCGCGCATGCATGTGTGCATGTATGTGTGCATTTCTGGTTGTGCAGGTTTTCACACATACATATCTATGTGTGTATACGTACACAGCCAGCGTTGGCTCCAAACAGTAGGTTCTTGCAGTCTATGCGGTGCAGTTGAGGTGGTGCAATTCACTTGGAGAACTTCAAGTTGTCAGATCCACTGCTCGCACAATCACCCCACCCACCCACCCGCAACTTGGTTTGCAAAACCCATGCGGGGGCGATTGCGATGAGTGCTGGGTGTTGGCTGGTGCATCCCTGCGGCCGCGCTAGCCCGCGCATGCTCGCGCGCGCAGCGGCCAGCTAGTTTGGCGCGGCGGACGCGAACGCGGTGGCGCTGACCGCTCGGCACATCCCAGCGGACACTTCAGCGCGAGTCGGCGGCATGGGCGGGCGCGGTATCATGGGAACGTCGACATTTGTGGACACGATGACGATCGTGGCGATGTTGGTGACGATGCGGGGAGCGACGGCGGGGCAGCCAGCGAAAGCGCCGCCTTCGCGTCGGAGATGCAGGTTTTCGGTTGAATTCAACATGCGCGCGCGGCAGACGCGCGAGAGTGGCTCGCATGGTATTTTGTGACACGGGTCGTGCCACTCCATCATGCGTGCAAGGGCATTCGAACAATTTCGACATGCGCGCGAGCGAAACTCGTTTGGTAACATTCTAGGAACAATGTTGAACACCGCATGGCCGTATTAAGGATTCGCAAGAGCGCGCGCACGTTTTTTGTTTCTTCTCTTTTATCGTTGTCACCCGTGTCGCGGGACCTTGTGTGTTTATATTTTTGGCCGTTCGATTTTTTCCGAAGCCGAAGACGGGTCCCATTTGTTGCCAGGGAGTTTCGCGACGGCACGCGCGCAAAGGGTGTCCGAACGATTTCGGCATGCGCGCGCGAAGCCTGTTTGGTAGCATTTTAGGACATGTTGGAAACCTATGGCTTTCTTCGGGATTCGCAAGAGCGCGCGCGAACGTTTTTTTTGTCGGGGTGGTGTGGGGTGGTGCGGGGGGAAGCCCGTGCTGCGAGACCATTTCTAAGCTATACATTTTTTTGGCTAATGGATTTTGGCATTTTTTCTGGACCTGGAGGTTTTTGATGTCGGCATGCGCGCGCGACCACGCGCGCGTGTGTATTTCGACCCGCTTTTTGCAACGGAGTTTTTGGCAACTTATGATTTGTGATAACCGAGTGTGCGCGCGTAGTATTGTTTCCCACCCCCCCTTGGTTGGGTATCCGTTTTGAATGGAGCGGTGGGGTCGCGTCTCCCTGCTCCCGCCTCCCGCCCCCCGCCTCCTTCCTGATCCTGCCTTCTCTTCGCCGTCGCTGGGGGGCTGTGATCTGCGAAACTGTCGCCGCTTTCGGGGGCTGCTAGTGGGTCCAGCGAGGTGAGGCACCGCGTGGGCCTGAGGTAGCCCTCGCCGTCCCGGGGGGGCTGCGATCTGCGAAACTGCCGCCGGTTTCGAGGGCTGGTGGTGGGTCCAGCGGAGTGAGGCACCGCGCGGTCCTGAGGTCGACCTCGCCTTCCCTTGGGGGCTGCGATCTGCGAAAATGTAGCCGCTTTCGAGGGCTGCTGGTGGGTCCAGCAGTGTGAGGCACCGCGCGGACCTGCGGTAGACCTCGCCGTCCGTTGGGGGCTGCGATCTGCGAATGTGTCGCCGCTTTCGCTGTGTGGTGGTGGGTTCAGCCGAGTGGGGCACCGCGCGGACCTGAGGTAGACCTCGCCGTCCCTGGGGGGCTGCGATCTGCGAACCTGTCGGGCTGTTGGTGGGCCCAACGGAGTGCGGCACTGCGCGCGCCCGAGGTAGACCTCGCCGTCCTTTGGGGGCTGCGATCTGCGAAACTGTCGCCGCTTTCGTGGGCTGCTGGTGAGTCCAGCGGAGTGAGGCACCGCGCGGACCTGAGGTAGACCTCGCCGTCCCTGGGGGGCTGCGATCCGCGAAACTGTCACCGTTTTCGCGGGTTGCTGGCGGGTCCAGCGCAGCGGATCAGAGGTAGACCTCGCCGTCCCTGGGGGGGGGGCTGCGATCTGCGAAGCAGTCGCCACTTTCGAGGGCTGGTGGTGGGTCCAGCGGAGTCAGGCACCGCGCAGACCTGAGGTAGACCTCGCCGTCCCTTGGGAGCTGCGATCTGCGAAAGTGTCGCTGCTTTCGAAGGCTGCTGGTGGGTCCAGCGGGGTGAAGCACCGCGCGGGCCCGACGTAAACCTCCCCGTCCCTGGGGGGTTACCTGCGAAAGTGTCGCCACTTTCGCGGGCTGCTGTTGGGCTCGCCGCTTTCGAGGTCTGCCGGTGGGTCCAGCGGAGTGAGGCGCTTCGCAGACCTGAGCAGGACCTCGCCGTCCCTGGGCGGCCACGTCATGTTGATGCTGCCCCGCCGACGTTTCAAGCAAGTCCCCTGCCCACAGTCTCCTTTTGGACCTTGCGTTTTCCTCAGTGACTCAGGGGTTCACTTAGTTACTCATCGTTTTTCCCTTGGTTGGGGATCTGCGAACCTTCCGACTGCCGCTCGCAAAAGTACATGCTCACAAGCTACTCCTGCCCCGCATTGCGCAGGGGTTGGTTGCGTCGCCAGGGTAATTGCAGAGGGTGGCGAGGGGGGGCGATGCCGGCCCCTGGGATAGTGTAAATTCATATTTAGGATGGGCGATGGGGCATAATCATTTGGAATTTGCATACGAAAAGGGGGGATCGTTAAATCCGGGGGTGTGGAGGGTGGTAGAACCTAGTTTTCTTTTTAGAAAGGAGAATTAATTTCTGTTCGCAGTGAATTGTCCACTCCACTGCTCGCGCAACCATCCCACCCACCCACCCGCAACTTGGTTTGCAAACCTCATGCGGCGGCGACTGCGATGAGTGCTTGGCGCTGGCTGGTGCATCTCTGCGGCCGCGCCAGCCCGCGCATGCGCGCGCGCAGCGGCCATGTAGTTTGGCGCGACCGACGAGGCCGCGGTGGTGTTGACCGTTCGGCACATCCCAGCGGGAACTTGAGTGCGAGTCGGCGGCTCGGTCGGGTGCGGTATCATGGCGACTTCGGCACTTGTGGACACGATGACAATGATAGTGGCGATGTTGGTGGCGATCGTTGTAGACACGATGATGATGATGATGATAATGATGATGATGATGATGATGATGATGATGATGATGATGATGAGGATGATGATGATGATGATGATGATGACGATGACGATGATGATGATGATGCTGATGAGGATGATGATGATGATGGTGATGATGATGATGCTGATGATGATGATGGCGGTGGTGATGATAGTGGCGATTGACGGCGCGGGTGCCGATCACGCTGGCGACGATGACGGCGCCTTCGCGTCGGTGATGCAGGTTTTGGAAGGAATTCGAAATGCGCTCGCGGCAGACGCGCGAGAGTGGCTCGCACGGTACTTTTTGACACGGATCGTGCCACCCCAGCACGCGCGCAAGGGCGTTCGGACGATTTCGACATGCGCGCGCGCGAAGTCCGTTTGGTAGTATGTTATGAAAGATTGACAATTTGCTGCACCAAAAATTAGCAAGAGCGCGCGCACGCTCTTGTTGAACATCTTTGTTGCGAGACCTTGTGTTGTTGTACGTTTTCCGGACAGTCGATTTTGACATCCTTCCGGCACCGCAGGTTTTTGAAGGATTTCGGCATGCGCGCGCGGCGACGCGCGCGTGTGCTTTTCGTCCCATTCGTTGTAATGGGGGTGTCGCGGCAACTCGCGGGCAAGGGCGTCCGAACGATTTTGACATGCGCGCGCGGAACCCGTTTCGTAGTTTTTTCTGAAAGTTGTTGACGGCCATGGTTTTTGTAAGAATTTGCAAGAGCGCGCGCATGCTTTTGTTGAACATCCGCGTTGCGAAAACTTGTGTTTTTATATGTTGTTTTTGCCACTCTGGAGTTCTTCTGGCGTCGAAGGTTTTTGAAGGGTTTCGGCATGCGCTCGCGACGACGCACGCGTGCGCACTTCGTCCCATTTGTTGTATGGGATTGCTGGGTTTTATGATTTGTGATGAACGAATGTGCGCGCATGTCGAATATCTGTTGCAGAGGATGGCGGGGGGGGGCGATACCGGGTTGGCTAGAATAATGTGAATTCACAGGTCGGATGGACATTGAGTCATAACCATATATGTTTTGCATCGGTTCCCGGGGGGTGGAAGAATCCAGGGGGTGACGGTGGTAGAACATATGTTTAAGAAAGTAAAAACTATACAACGGCGACGGCGGCGACGGGCGGCACCGCCCGCAAAAAGCCGCCACTCGCCCCGAGCGGCGGCGACGGCGGCGGCGGCGACGGCGGTGACGGCGGCGGCGGGCGGCACCGCCCTCAAAAACCGCCACTCGCCCCGAGCGCTGGCGACGGCGACGGAGACGGCGGCGACGGGCGGCACCGCCCGCGAAAGCCGCCATCCCCCCCGAGATGGTTAAGCCAGGTAAGAACCTCTAAGTGCAAGCGCTGTTTGAGGAACCTATGTGTGTATACGTGTTCAGCGGGTGTCAGGACTCCTGGGGCTTGGGGCAGCACGCTCTAACCTAGTTTAGCCCGCGGGGTCTGGGGCCAGATTTCGTCCAGGTGTTTTTCGCCCTTTCGGCCCCTCGGCTGGCCAAGGCGCCCTTAGACGGCCTCTCGGAGTCACCAAGAGGCCCGGAAGACCGCCAAAATCCGCCCAAGAAGGTTTTGCAGCGCTCTGAGATGGCCTTCGATGGCCTCACGACCCCAGAACATCCCAAGAGAGCCTTATGGACACTCCCGGGAAGACGACCTGATGGGGCCTTCCTGGTCGCCCCAAGGCGTTCCAGGCGGGCCCAGGATGGCCCCCCGATGCGGTTGAAGGGGCCCTCAAGGCGGCTGAAGAGGCCCCGAGAGAGCTCCGAGAGGAAGCCAAGAGGGATTGATTCCAGGGGGGGGCCGAGAGGGGTCTTGCGAGCTGTGCTGGCGGGTATGGCTCCCAGCATGCACCCCTTATGACCCTCTTGGAGACCCCAAGAGGCCCCCCAGCACCCCCCCCCCTCCCAGGAGCAAGGAGGTTCTCGCACAACTTGACTTCGGGTACTGCCTCGGTTCTTTCGGGGACTCCGCGGCGGCCTCCCAGGGCCCCTCTGGATCGGTCGTCTCTTCTCCATGCCCTTCCTTCCGGGCGGGATCCTCCTGGAGCGTACCAGCAGGCCAGCGGCGTCGCCGCCGTGGCGGTCATTGGCGCATGCAGAAGCGGGGGCCTCCGTTCCCTTCCCTGTCTTCCATGCCTCCTCTCTCCTCTCGTGCCTCCTCCCCTCATCCCTCCTTTCCCGCTGCCCCATCGCTGCTTCCCCCTCTTCCGTCGGTGCCTGTGCGTGCAACAGGTGTCAGGTCATGAGATAGACAAGAGAGGAGGACGAACCAGGTGAGGAGGATGGCAGTGGGGATTAGCGGGGAGAGGAGACGGATGGTGAGGAGAGCGAGGAGGAATGAGACGAACTTGGCTTCCACATGGAGGGCAGGCACAGGATGAGCTTGAGATCCGCCTTAGACTAGAACCTAAGCATGCGCGAAGCGCCCGCGTGGTTTTAGCTTCGATTGAAGATGACTCCGAGAGGGCCTTGAAGCAGCCAGAGGGCGCCCCGAGAGGGTCCCAATCTGTTCCAGCACTGCCCCAAGAGGATCCCGAGTGAGCCAAACTGGTCCCCTGGAGGAGACCGAAATGGCTCCAGACGGTCCCAGGACGGCGCGAGACCGAGAGGGCCCAAGAAGGTTCCAAGACTCCCCCAAGGGGGCTACAATACTGCTCCAGGAGACTTCAAGAGGGCCCCCCCGGAGGACACCACTTACGAGCAGGCTGGGACCCAAGACAGCCCGGAGGTGGCCGCGCAAGCTGCTCACGACGGAGGATGACGAATATGCCGTAGCCATTTCGGCTCAAGCCATCTTGCACACGTCGCTGTGCCTGAAGCGGTATCCCGCGGGGTCTTCGCAAAGCTACACCCACGAGCAAGCAGTATGGCCAAGTACCCTTGGGGTGATGAAAACTTCACGGTGTCGGTGCTCCCAGTTTGCTTGCTCATCTCAACTGTCCTGGTTGGTGGCGCACTGATCGGTGTTGGCCCAGGTGGGGCCGTGAATGGGTTTCCTGGTCCTGAAGACTTATATGGGGTAGTCGGCGTGACTTTGGGTTGGATCGTCATGTGGTACACGTTCTTGGGCAACCAGATTGCGTTCAAGTTCGCAGAGATGGATGAGAGTCAGAAGCAGACTGCCCTCAACATTGCTGACCGCGGTGTCATCAATACGATAGAGCAATGTATCCCGTTCTTCCTGGTGCTGTGGTTGCATGCGTTGTTCGTAAATCCCAGCACTTCTGCAGTGCTCGGGTGGATCTACGTGGTTATGCGATACCTCTACCCGGTATGCTATGGCTTATATGGCAAGTTTAATAACATGGTCGAAATTCCCTGTCAGGTCAATTTCGCTATCATATTCTATCTGTTTTGGGCAATCGTCTACAAATGCGCCAAGGCCTCGGACTTTCACACGGACTTGACAAACATTTCGCCATTACTTGTTCCACTTGTTGTGTTCCTCTCTGGTGTCACGACCCTGATGCTCCTCCTGGTCGGCTCAAAGCCAGCAGCGGCTGTAATTTCGAAGGGCGTTGCCTGGGATGCGGCATACAAGCCTCCTTTGGCATCGCAGTGAGACGATGAACACTCGAAAGCCTGGTGCTGCCGCATGTCGAAGCGGTCTAAGTTACACAACCTGTGCAACCAGAACCGGAGGTGGAACCGCACCCTCTAGAACCCAAACTTATATGTCAGTGGGACATCGTCACCTGCACTTCATTTTTCTCCAAACATCCTTCAGCAGGAGATGCGCGCCTTGGCGCTAACCAAGCTGGGGCGTTAGTCGAGCTCGGTTGATTGGCCATGAGGACGTGCAGGCAACTGTTTTGCGTGGAGCGGTCACTCGGGACAGTTTTGTTGTTGTGCTGTAAAGCTCGTTGTCGGGCTGGTGGGTTAGAGGCTCTCGCCCAGTCTCGCGCGTGAGCAGGAAGCTCGGCCCGCGACAGCGTTGCCCAAACCATGTTGATTGATAACAGGGAGAAGACACGAGGAAGAAAACAAAAAAACGACGGAGGATGACGAATAGGCAGAAGCCCCAACTGTCTATTCCCAACGCTCCTGCTTCTCCCTGACAGCCTCACTCTGTTGAGGCGGCTGTGCGGGTTCTCATCCCCCAGCCTGTTGAGCTGCTGCGGTCCACGATAGCTGTAGCCTGCTGGCGCTTGCTAACGCCCGTTATCGCCGCGAATAAAGAAGCGCGTTCTCTGGGGGTGGGGACTCGTGGGAACCCTCGACCCTGGATCATGTATGCTCACACCGGAATGTATATCTGAGTGGGCACACCCCCTGCCCTGGCCCGAGACCGGAGTCGCGCCTTCAGCAGCGGACGTGCTCTGGCTTCGAAGCCCTCCTCCCCACCTCTCCTCCGCATCCCTCCTCCGACGAGCATGCGCAATGCCGCCAGCGAGCGTCATGGCGCGGTCGGCGCCCCAGGACGCCTCCGTCAGTAGCTTCCCCTCCCCTCCCCTCCTCCCTCTCCTCCCCCTCCGTCTTCGACCTTCCCCGCCTCCCCGTCCCTCCCCCTCCCATGCCCTCTCCTTCCTCCTCCCCTCTGGTGGGGCTTCTGTTCGTTTCCCCAACGTAGTAAATCAGCCAGAGAAGAAACTGGTCGAATTTGTGTTCGAAGTGAAGCTCCCCTCCCTCGTTCCAACCCTTCGGTTGGTTGCCTTCCACATGGAATGCTTTCTGCGCAGGTGACCTCCCCATCTCACCGTCGGCCAATAGTTTGGTGCCCACAGGCGCGGAACAACAAGGAAAGCAATGCCAAGCAATGACAAACAAGGAAACAACCATACGAAACAATAAGGACACATCACGGATTCATTGGCTTTTGATGTGCAATCATCGGTGTATCTGCTTTTCATTGTTCTTCGCTGTGCTAGCATATGGTATTGTTGTTTCTCTTGGTTCCACGCCTTGCTTGCACTGTTTTTTGGGGGGCTTTCCTCGTTTTCCTGGTTTTCCGTGGCCCTGGGGGGCCTTGGGGCGCCGCCCATGGCCTGACAGGGCTCCCCCGGGGGCTTCCAAGGGCTGCCCAGGGCCCACCTGGGCACGGAACACAAGGACAACAGAGAAGAACTCGGCAAGCCAATGCAAACGCAGCGAAGCACAGGCCCCCCGGGGCCTCGTCGGGGTCTCTGGGGAGCCTCTCGGGGACCCCTTGCGGGCCTCTTGGGGCCTCCCGGGCGCCTTTTAGAGCCCTCGTGGGGCCCTTCTGCGAACCTTGGGGGCCATCTTGGGGCCACCTAGCAGGAGTTCGATTGAAGAATGGGGGGGGCTTACTCAACCTTGGCCCCAAAGAGGCCAGACTTGACGCAAAACCTTGCATGGTTTTTTGCCTTCTCGCTGAGGCCGTCATGGACGCTTCAACCCCTCGCGAACCTCCTTCCAGGCCAAGGGGGTGGGTAGGGGGAGGGGTACACCCTTCCCCGAAGGGGATGAGGCAAGCTGGAAGAAGAAGCTCGCTAAAGCACCTCCGCCCAGAGGGCTGGTGGGATTCTCGGGAGAGAGAGAGAGAGAGAGAGAGCGATCTCTCTAGACTCTATACCATTGAAGCCCAGAGGGCCAAGAGCTAGCTGCTCCAAGCACCTACGCCCAGAGGGCTGGTGGGATCAGAAAACTACATAAGGAAACGCTCAAACTCATTCCAGCCCAGAGGTCTAGTGGGTTGAGATGGTCTTCAGCGAAACGCTTGTTTTCACGTGTCCAGGTCGCCCAGGCAGATGTCTAACATGAAGATGCGTTAGAGATGTTCCGAGCGAGACGCTTGCTTTCACGTGTCCAGGTCGACCAGGCGGATGTCCAGCATGAGGAGGTGTCGAGATGGCCTCGAGCGACACGTTTGTTTTCACGTGCCCAGGTCGCTCAGACGAATGTCTAAAATGAAGACGTGTTGAGGATGTCTCGGGCGAACCGCTTGTGTTCACGTGTCCAGGTCGCCCAGGCGGATGTCTAGCATGAGGATGTGTTGAGGATGTGTCGAGCGAATCGCTTGTTTTCAGGTGTCCAGGTCGCCCAGGCGAATGTGTAACATGAGGATGTGGGCAGGATGCCTCGAGCGAAATGCTTGTATTCACGCGTCCAGGTCGCCGAGGTGGATGTCTAGCATGAGGAGGTGTTGGAAACGTGTCGAGCAAGACGCTTGGTTTCATGTGTCCAGGTCGCCCATGCGGATGTGTAACATGAGGATGTGTTGAGAATGCCTCGAGCGAAACGTTTTTTTTGACGTGTCCAGGTCGTCCAGGCGGATGTCTAACATGAGGATTCGTTGAGGATGTCTCGAGCGAAACGCTTGTCCGACCGTGGGCTCGAGCTCGAGCTTAAGATCCAGATCAGTTCGGTCTTAGACTCGGATGCAAAGGACGACTCGATCCACAACGCTATAGAGAGCACACTCGCAGCATGGCATATCGCAAGTCAGCACCGCACAGCACACAGCACAGCCCTGGGCACGTTACTCCAAGATCGATACACTCCGCATTGCAATTGCCCGTCGCCCAATCAGGTGTCTTGAAAACGTTGCCATGCCTCACATTTCCATGTCCCTTTCTGGGTTCGTGGGTCGATCATGTTGTTTCTGACAAGGGGTGCTCCTGTTCGCACCACCCTGCGCGGGACCAGTGCCAGTGCCAAGATGCCGTGGCCATGCAGGCTCAATAGCCGACATTGCACACTCAGCAAGTCGTGGATCGCGGAGAAGAGTTTTCTCGCTCGGTCAGACGGGATGGTGGCGACTGGCATGATCTGGTCTCTTGTGTTTCTCGGGCTATCAGGCGCGTCTGGCATGCAGCTGGCAACGAGCGGCTGGCTCGAGAACGTGGCGCAGAACGCGACGTCCGCGCGGTTCACGCGCGCGGAGTGCAGCACCTGGCAGGTGGGTCAAGGCTGCTGCACGCCACTGGGAAACACCGCGTCTGCGTGGACCTTCGCTTCTCATGGGGTGCATGGCACTTGGTCCAGCACCACCGCGTTCATCCGCTTCGACTTCCACGACGATACGATCTGCGGTGGCGTGGCGAATTCCAGGCAACACGGGAGCGCAGTTCTCACCTTGAACGACGCTTCGCCCATCGACCTGACCCTTGCGATGACAGGCGTCGCTGAGGCCAACTTCGAAAAGTTTGAACTGTACGTGGACAACGTCCTGCGCACCACGGTGCAAGCTTCAAACGGCCACGGGGGCAGCGCATGCCAGGTCAGCACCTGCATCATGTGCGATGTCAACATGCCCTCGCAGACATTCTCGCTTTCAGCTGGGCCGCACACAATCAGGGTAGAGGTTGATTCTCTCGACGGTCTGTTCCACAGGGGCGCTTACTTCCAGATTACCTTCGGCAAAAGCAGCCCGACGTGTGGCGGATGCACCTGCTCGGAGGCGACGCCCAGCCCGACGCCCTACCCGACGCCCTACCCGACGCCCTACCCGACGCCCTACCCGACGCCCAGCCCGACGCCCAGCCCGACGCCCTACCCCACGCCCTACCCGACGCCCTACCCGACGCCCAGCCCGACGCCCAGCCCGACGCCCTACCCCACGCCCTTCCCGACTCCCTATCCAACGCCCAGCCCGACGCTCTACCCCACGCCCTACCCGACGCCCTACCCGACGCCCAGCCCGACGCCCTTTCCCACGGCTTTCCCGACGCCCTACCCCACGCCCTACCCGACGCCCTACCCCACGGCCTACCCGACGGCCTTCCCGACGCCCAGCCCGACGCCCAGCCCGACGTATCCTCCAGGTTGGCCGACGCCACACCCGACGTTTCCTGCTGGAGCTCCCATGGCGGGTGGAGCCGGCGGATCGGTGGCTGCCACTGGCGATCCGCATTTGCAGAACATTTTTGGTGAGCGGTTCGACTTGATGCAGCCCGGCAAGCACGTTTTGATACAGATTCCGCAGGGAGAGCGTGCCGAGATGACGATGCTTCATGTAGAGGCCTTGGCGCATAATTTGGGTGGACATTGCGCAGACATGTACTTTCAAGAAGTAAATCTCACAGGGACGTGGGCGGAGGCGAGGCAGGCTGGCGGTCTTCGTTTCAGCGTTCAGGGTCAAGGGATGAAATGGACAAAGTTTGGGGTGGTAGAGATAAAGATCGCCCGTGGTCGCACACAGCAGGGCACCCAGTATCTGAATTTCTACGTCAAGCACCTCGACCGCGCTGGGTTTGCAATCGGAGGGTTGTTGGGAGAAGATGATCACACGCAGGCGTCAATGCGGCCGGCGGAGTGCTTCCGGCACCTTTCCCTTTGAGCCTCGCCAGTGTGCAGCATTCATGTCGGATTCCATTTAGACGCGATGAGGACGGTCCGCAAGGATCGTGCGGTTTGCATCCGCTTTCTGTGTTCGGTCAGCAATGATCGTGCGGCTTGCTTCCGCTTTCTGTGTGTCCTTGGAGCTCTCCATCCCGGCTTCGTCCTTGGCAACAATGCGGCGGATCCCAGAAACGAACCCAGACGACAGGAGGCGACGAGGCGGCGACGGGACGGCGACGGCGGCAACAAGGCGGCGGACCCGGCGAAAGAGCCCAGACGACGGGTTGCGACGAGGCGGCGACGGGGCAGCGACGGCAGCAGCAAGGCGGTTGACCCGACAAACGAGCCAATTTCCTGAGAAGACACGTAAGACGTTCTAAGTACAAGCGCTGTTTGGGGCACACACACACACACATGTTAAGTACATATATGTAGGTAGTTCTATGTTTCTGCGCATGCCGATGTTCAATCGTGCATATATATGGTTATGTATATTTTTATGTGTTTGTCTAGGTTCGCATGTGTATGCAGGCATTCATACAGACATGTGTATATCTATGTATGTGTATATCGGTGTAGGTGCCAGATCGTGTTGTATGCGTATGTATACGTATACGTGTATGTGCATGTGCAGCTGTATGCATGTGTGCGTGTCAGTAATGCATATGATTGTGTTTATGCCACTACATGTGTATACCACTAATGCATATGATTGTGTTTATGCCAATCCATGTGTGTGCATATGCATAAATTTATATGTATGCATGTATGTATGTATGTATGCACATATGTATGTATGTATGCATGCATGTATGCATGCATGCATGTATGTAGGTATGTATGCATATATGTATATGTGTATACATGTATGTATGTATGCATGCATGTATGTATGCATGTATGTATGTATGTACGCATACATGTATGCAATGTATGTATGCATGTATGTATGTATTTATTGTAATGTAATGTGATGTAATGTAGTGTAATGCAATGTAATGTAATGTAAGGTAGTGTAATGTAATGTATTGTAATGTAGGGTAATATAAGGTAATGTAATGTAATGTAATGTAATGTAATGTAATGTAATGTACTGCAATGTAATGTAATGTAATGTATTGTAATGTAATGTAGTGTAAGGTGATGTATGTATGCATGTATTTGTGTATGTATGTATGTATGTATGTATGTATGTATGCACATACATACATATATACATATATATATAAATATGTATATATGTATATGTATGTATGTATGTATGTATGTATGTATGTATGTATGTATGTATGTATGTATGTATGTATGTATATATATATATATATATATATATCGGCCCGGGGGCGGGGGTGAGGTGGTGCCACTGGTTGGCATGGTCGCCCTGGGCGTCCTGTGGGGTCCACGAACCCGCCCAAGACGGCCCAAGAGGCTCAAAGACAGCCCAAGAGGCCCACAGGACAGCCTCGGCGAGGCCCAAGAGGGCCCCAAGTCGCCCAAGAGCGCCCCAAGAGGGCCCGAGATGGCTTGAAGATGACCGAAGAGGGCCCAAAGAGAGCCTTCGAGAGGCAACATCGGCCCATCCTTTTAGTAAAACGTGCATTTTCAGCATACTCGCTTGCTTCGTCTTCACAGTGCCCCAGACGCCCCCGAGGAGCCCCAAGACAGCCCAAGAGAGACCCAAGAGGGCCCAAAACGGCCCAAAAGGGTCGTGCTGTGGGGCTCACGGACCCCCCCAAGACGGCCCAAGAGGCCCCGAAGTTGGCCCAGGAGGCCCCCCAGACGGCCTCAGGGAGGCCCAAGAGGGCCTCGTGCGAAATCATCTTCCCGGAAGCCTCTCCGGGAACAGGATTTCCGGGTTCCCAGGACGCCCAAGAGGCCCACAAGACAGCCTCAGCGAGGCCCAAGAGGGCCCGAGATGGCTTGAAGATGGCCGAAGAGGGCTCCAAGAGGGCCTTCAAGATGCAAACATCGGCCCATTCCCTTAGTAAAACGTGCATTTCCAGCATACTCGCTTGCTTCGTCTTCACAGTGCCCCAGACGCCCCCGAGGAGCCTTCAGACAGCCCAAGAGAGACCCAAGAGGGCCCAAGGCGGCACAAAAAAGGGTCTTTCTTTGGGGCTCACGAGCCCCCCCGAGACGGCCCAAGAGGCCCCGAAGCTGGCCCAGGAGGCCCCCACGACGGCCTCAGGGAGGCCCAAGAGGGCCTCGTTCGAAATCATCTTCCCGGAAGCCTCTCCGGGAACAGGATTTCCGGGTTCCCAGGACGCCCAAGAGGCCCACAAGACAGCCTCAGCGAGGCCCAAGAGGCCCCGAGATGGGTTGAAGATGGCCGAGGAGGGCTCCAAGAGGGCCTTCAATATGCATTCCCTTAGTAAAACGTGCATTTTTAGCATACTCGCTTGCTTCGTCTTCACAGTGCCCCAGACGCCCCCGAGGAACCCCAAGACAGCCCAAGAGAGACCCAAGAGGGCCCAAGGCGGCACAAACAAGGGTCTTTCTTTGGGGCTCACGGAACTTCAAGACGGCCCAAGAGGCCCCGAAGCTGGCCCAGGAGGCCCCCACGACGGCCTCAGGGAGGCCCAAGAGGGCCTCGTGCGAAATCATCTTCCCGGAAGCCTCTCCGGGAACATGATTACTCTCGCTTCGCGGGGTGCACGTCCGGAGCACGTACAGTCACGTCGTCGCGGGGTCTCTTGGGAGGGCCTCCTGGAGGCCTCCTGGGAGTTTCTTTTGGTCTCTTGGGACTTCTTTGGGGCCTTTCCTTCCTTTCCATACACCCTCCCAATCTTCCCTTCCAGCGCCGGCTCTAATCATGGGCGCCGCAGTGACCAACTTCCACCTGGCTGGCGTTGCGCCGCAGTTCGCCCAGAGGGGGGGAAATAACATTACACTCCAGTCGCTGTGTGGCCTTTGGGGGGCTTTTTGGGGCCCTTTTGGAGGCTTCTGGGGGACTTCTTGGAGGCTTCTTGGGGGCCTCTCGGGGCCTCTTGGGGGCGTCTTCGGCCGTCTTGGGGCGCTTTTGCATCGTTTCGCCCCCTCGGAGGCTGTCTTGGGGGCCTCTCGCGGCCGCGTTGGAGCCCTCTTGGGGTCCTCTTGGGTCGTCTTCGCGGCCTCTTGGACCGTCTTGGGGGCCTCTTTGGGCCGTTTTGGGGCCGTCCTGGGCCGTCTTGGGGCCCTCTTGGGGGCTTCTTGGGCTGTTCTGGGGCGATTCTGGAAGCTGCTTGGGCCGTCATGCATTTTTGAGAGCCGAAAAAGGCGAGAACGCTAAACTATTGCAAATACCATAGGAAAATCAATAATTTCGGCTTCTGGAGGCGCAGTTGTGGGCGCTCTCGGGGCCCTCTTGGGCCGTCCTTGGGGCTTTCCGGGCCCTCTTGGGGCCGGCTTGGGGGCCTCATGGGCCCCCGCTGGGAATATCTTGGGCCGTCTTGGGGCCGTCTTGCGCCGTCTTGGGGCCATCTTGGGCCATCTTGAGGCCCTCTTGGAGTCTCCAGAGGCCCAAGAGGCCGAACTTGTTGATCTGTCATCGGTTTTTGTAGGTGTGGGACCCCAGAAGGAGGGCCGATCATTTTGGTCCGTTCCTGTGGCGCGGCTCCTAGGGGGGTTAGGGGGGAGACATAATAATGTAACACATTGCAAGATGTGGCAATTCTGCAATCATTGGATACATTGGATACGTTGCATTAAGGCGTTCGCCGATTAAGGCGTTCGCCGAAAAACGCTGCCGCTCAGCACGTCACTTCCGGACGTGGATTCCTCTCGCTTCGCGGGGTGCACGTCAGGAGCACGTACAGTCACGTCGTCGCGGGGCCTCTTGGGAGCCTCTTGGGGGCCTCCTGGAGGCCTCCTGGGAGCTTCTTTGGGGCCTTCCCCCTTTCCTTTTCATACACCCTCCCCATTTTCCCTTCCAGCGCCGGCTCTAATCATGGGCGCCGCAGCGACCAACTTCCACCTGGCTGGCGCTGCGCCGCAGTTCGCCCAGAGGGGGAAAATGACATTACACTCCAGTCGCTGTGTGGCCTTTGGGGGGCTTTTTGGGGGCCTTTTGGAGGCTTCTGGGGGGCTTCTTGGAGGCTTCTTGGGGGCCTCTTGGGGGCGTCTTCGGCCGTCTTGGCGCTTTTGCGCCGTTTCGCTCCCTCGGAGGCTGTCCTGGGGGCCTCTCGCGGCTGCATTGGAGCCCCCTTGGGGTCCTCTAGGGCCGTCTTCGCGGCCTCTTGGGCCGTCTTGGGGGCCTCTTTGGGCCGTTTTGGGGCCGTCCTGG